ACTCACGCCTATAATCCCAGCACTCTGGGAGGCTGAGGCAGGTGGATCACGAGGTCAAGAGATCAAGACCATCCTGGACAACAAGGTGAAAGCCCGTCTTCACTAAAAATACAAAAATTAGATGGGCATGGTGGTACGCGCCTGTAATCCCAGCTACTCTGGAGGCTGAGGCAGGAGAATTGCTTGAACCCAGGAGGCGGAGGTTGCGGTGAGCTGAGATTGCGCCATTGCACTCCAGCCTGGGTAACTAGAGCGAAACTCCGTCTCCAAAAAAAATAAATAAATAAATAAAATAACTCCTAGCATCAAGTGTTACAACTGCTTAGACAGAACTTTCTGATAAAGGTGTATCCTATGAATCTATGACTAAGCTAGGTATTTTGGAAAAGTGGCCCCATTTCCCATGACAGGTAAAGCAGGAGGGACGGACCAGTTTTATGGTGGCTTAAGTCTATCTGCCTCTTTCTGAGACTGTAAAATCTTTATCCAGCATCGCTTCCTTTTCCTCTTCAACTCTCCTACCTCTGCCCCACTCCTAAAGAAAAGTCACTGCAATTCCTAGGAAGCAGCCTCCTCTTATCCCTTCACCTTCATGGTAGACCCTGTGCCATGCTTTCAGGACCACAGAGCTACGTGACGAAACAGGCAGGAGAAAGGGAGGATGGGACTATGTTTGTTGTTTGTGCTCAGAGAAGTATTCAAACAAGAAAAGGGAGGGTCCCTTCCTGTGAGTGTTATTTTATCTTAAATACCTTTCCAGTTGTCATCTTTGGGCTGTTCTCACACACTGAAAGACTTGAGCTCCTTCCTGCATGCCACAAAAGTACGGGAACATTCTTCTTTGCATTGCACTTGTGACTGAACTGCACAGGCTAAATCACAGCCCGCTCTACTAGCCACACGATCCGATCTCATATTTATAATTCTCTTCTGTTTCTCACAACAACGATAACGCAGACAGCTTCCTCTTTTCTTAGAAGGCGGCCCCTATACATAACTCCACCATGGTCATGCACTCTTTTGTTGACATTTTTCAGATTTCCCTGCCAGACTCAGAGCTTCTTGAAAGCTACCATGGTATCCTGCTCACTTGCACACAGTAGGCACAAAATAAATGTCTGCTGAACTGAATGCATAAATGATGGATTTGAAAGAGATTTCAAAGGGAGAATCAACACTGTGGTATAGAACTCTTTGTAGCATTTCCTTAGAGTAAAAATTAGTTAACAGCTTGTGCAATGACAGTGTAGATATTTAAATCATTCCAATGTCATCATCACATGGCAGCTTAGGATAATGGCACTTATTAGGTATGTAACTTTAGACAAAACAGTGTTTCTGAGTACAAGTTTCCCTTCTGTTAAGCCAAAAAAGAAAAAAGAAAGGGTCGGGGGTGAGTGAAGCTCAAATGACAATGCAAAGAAAGACAATTACACAAATATAACGTATTATTGGACAGACTGAAACAAATTAATTCTCACCATTTGTGCTATTTGATGTGCATACATTTGACTAGACCATATAAACAAGTTCAAACAACAGAGCTTACTGTCAAGCATATACGTGGATCATTAAACATTTCAATCACATAAATACTTGCGGAAACCTTCTACCTATTCAACTCATCTATAGAAAAGGTTACCCTTATTTGTAAATTCAATTTCTAAATGATTTCCAGACAGTTTCAGGCTGTTCTTTTTGTGACAGAAGCAGGTTTTAACCACGAAGATGCCTGGTGACCTGCCTGAAGCACCAGACACATCACACAGCTCTGCAACACACTCTGCGGCAAACAGCCCAAAGCAGGCACAAACCTGCATCTCAGCACAGAGTTGGCTGATCTATGGCCAAAGCCTGCAGCTGAAAACACATGCAAGCACAAAGAAAATTCTTTAACAGCATACAGCTCAAATTATTGCTATGGTTAGGACCAATGACAGCCTGAACCTTAAAAAGAATTAAAATAGAGAAATGAGTGCACCAATTATCAGAAAGGCACGATAAATACATAGTTAAAAGCATCTTTAGCAGTGACTCTTCCCTGTAATCCCAGCACTTTGGGAGGCTGAAGCAAGTGGATCATTTGAGGTCAAGAGTTTAAGACCAGCCTGGCCAACATGGTGAAACCCCGTCTCTACTATAAATACAAAAAAATTAGCTGGGCAGTAGTGGTGCTTGCCTGTAATCCCAGTTGCTCTGGAGGCTGAGACAGAAGGACTGCTTGAGCCTGGGAGGCAGAGGTTGCCGTGAGCTTAAATAGGGCAACAGTTTCAGACTCTGTCTCAAAAACAAACGAACAAAAGAAAAGAATTAAAAAAAAAAAAAAGCAAAGTACTTTTGTTAGAGCAGTAACTGGAAAGAAAATGGAAAACAAATAAAACTTAGTTCCAAATATGCTACAGACATCACAAATAACACCATACTACATAGCTATGGAGACTATTGAATTATTTTAACTTCACTTGAATTCTTAATGTCTATCTACTTCTCCGGTCAACCATCCCCTGTATTTTAAGCAAGAAACATGACCAATACGCTGACACTGCAGGCCCAAGTTTTCAATTGCATTTTTTCCAGAGTCATCCACTGCTAAAAGAGATAAAATATGGGATAGTGTAGTATAAATCCATGAGAAACAAATTCAAACTAAGTCATATGCCAACCAAAACAATCCTGCATTGGAAAGCAAACTGTGCACTTGTCCTTAAAATGTTTAAGCCTTGGCATTCACAATTTGTAGAAGTTTCACACCTTTCTGAAGGAGAGAGAGGTGAGCTAATCAGTTGTGGGTCCTAGAAATAGTTCCTCATAATGTTTCTAGACATCTAGAGATGTCTAGAAACACCCAGAGACATAAACAACAATCAGCTGGAAGCAGATATACCCAGAATAAGGAGCTTCCAGGATTTCCCTCTCCGTGTGAAAGTAATCAACTATTTTTAATCTCCCTCTGACGCAAGCATCCAGGCAAACCTCTCTTTTTCTGGCTAATCAAAGCTAGCTGATATGTTACTCTCTAATAGCAGTTTTAAAAGTCAGATTTTGCTGCTGGGTGCAGTGGCTCAAGCCTGTAATCCCAGCACTTTGGGAGGCCAAGGCGGGTGGATCGCGAGATCAAGAGATCGAGACTATCCTGGTCAACATGGTGAAACCCCGTCTCTACTAAAAATACAAAACATTAGCTGGGCATGGTGGTGCGTGCCTGTAATCCCAGCTACTCAGGAGGTTGAGGCAGGAGAATTGCCTGAACCCAGGAGGCGGAGGTTGCGGTGAGCGGAGATCACGCCATTGCACTCCAGCCTGGGTAACAAGAGCGAAACTTCGTCTCAAAAAAAAAAAAAAAAAAAAGTCAGATTTTAATGCAAATCAACACAGACTTAATTTCAATGCTTTAGTCTAGGAGAAAAAGGAGGTATCTTGAGAGACAGAATTGATGGTAATACAAAAAACCAGTCGATTTTCGAAAGGGGGGACTTAAAGAAATTTACATTTAAACAAATTAAGACCCAGCTATTCAAGTCTATGGGTTCACCTGGTGAATATTTCAACCAAAGGTATAACTGGGCAGACAAGCCCAAAGGATTCCTATCGTCTTAAGCACTTCACAGAAACAAACTAATCTAATACCAGTGATTGCCTGGGCTGGCCAAAAAACTTCCCAACTGATTAATTGAAAAACTGTATGTTGGTAGTTAAGTGCAGGTAAAAACAGCACTTCCCTACACACTGGGAAAACCAAAAAGGGTTATTAAAAATAATTATTTCCTTCAATGCCCAACAGGATTTATAACATTCAAGTCTACTTTTGGTTTTTCATTGTAAAGGAGTCTCAGAGGGGAGGGAACCATAATGCCTTAATAAGTAAACAATATGTAATGTTTAATAAGCTCCTGGGAGCTGGTCACAGTCTTCTTTTCCAATCAAGAGTTTTTGGAACCACTTGAAAAATGCTAGTGAAGAAGGCCTTCTACAAGGAACTCAGTAAGAATATGCAACTCTGGAGACACAATCAAAGTACTGGTATTAGACTTGGAAAAAATGCTGCTTTTGTCTCAGGGGCAGCCAGTGATAAAAACAGGAACTTTACAGAGAACTGATCACAACTGCCCAACAAGCCTGATCACATGCCCACAACAGAGCACTGTGTTTCTCTCATTGTTGTACAAGGAGTTCTCTAATAACAGTGGCTTGATTTATTCCATTTTTTTAAATTCTCAAAATAAATCGAACCCTCCCTGTCCCAATCTATTGTCAAAAGAAAGGATGCCGGCCAGGATTTGCAAGTAACCGGTAGCCTCTTCTCCTTCCTTCTTCGAAGACTCCAAAAGGTGACCAGATGCGGAAAATGTAGCCCGAATAACAAGGCACCAGGAAAAAAAAAAACTCTTACGACAAAGGTGGTCTAAGCAGCACCGTGTATCTCTCTGGGTTAATGCCACTGCTTCTCATCTCCCTAGGACCCTCAATGGCTCACCCGCTTCTGTCTCACTCCTGTCACTGGGGAGGCATCTCGCATTGTTAAAAGAGAGAAGAAATGCCGCTGCGGATTTCCCATGTGTCTTTCTCTTTTTGAAAAGGAGAAGCAGGGCTAGAACAAGGCGTGGAGCCCTCCACGAAAAGGGGACAGGAGAGGAAAAAGCTGTCAGCCACCCTCCTCGCAGCCCTCCCCCTCACCCCACCTTGCCCAGACGCCCGGGCAGAAGCGGGAGGGCGCAGCTTTGTCTCGGGTTTGGGGGGCAGGAAGCGCAGAAGCAATGTGGGCCCGGGAAGACCTCCCACAACCCCTTACTTAGCCCCCTCCAAGGGAAAACAATGAAAGCCACGGGAAACCACTTAGCGGGGTGGGAGACGAGGGAAGACGGCCGTGGAGTGCCAGGCCAGGTTCTCTGCACCCTCGTTCCCCTTGCCGCACGGCCACCAGGGCGCGCGGTGGGGACCTGTCTCCCGAGTCACGGCGATCCGCAGGGCCCCGGGCGCCCGCTCCCCCGCCCGGCTCCTACCCTCCGAGAGCTCCAGCTCCAGCTCTGCCAGCTGCGCTCGCACTTCAGGCGGCAGCGCCGCCACCGCGGCCGGCGACGGCTCCAGGCCTCGTTCCGCCATCCCGGCTCCGTCAGCCACACTCCGGAAGACAAGAGAGGGGGCCGAAGGAGGGACGGACCGACGCGGGCCCACACCCGGCTACAGGATCCGGCTCCGGCCGCCGAATGCCACCAGCACAGCCGCCACCGCCGCCGCCGCCGCCGCCGCCATGAGCAAAGGTCACGTGAGCGCGGCGGCCCCGCCCCTAGGCCGGGAGGACGCACCGCCTCCGCAGCCCGGTCAGGCTGAGGACGCGCATGCTTACGTCGCCCTCTACCGGAGAGCTGCCAGAACCACTGGCCCAAGCCCACCACCCGAATTTCCCTGCGCGAAATGGGCTCACGGTGTGGACCGTCGGCTTTACCACAGTAGTGTGTAGCATTTACCTTTCACTCTCGAGCAAGTGTTCAGGGGCCCCGGGCCTTACTTTTCCAATACTAGACTTAGCAATGTATGTCTTTGTCGTGTCCTTTACTTCATTTCCCCTGATCAATTAATACCTGCCCATTTATGAAAACGTAATCACAGGCCACCTCCTTCACGGTGGCTCTTGGTCCCAAATGCCAGGAGCTCTCTGTTTCTGTTTCAGTTTTAGCTTTTAAAAAGACAAAGGCAGGCCGGGCGCAGTGGCTTATCCTGTAGTCCTAGCACTTTGGGAGGCAGAGAAAGATGGATCACCTGAGGTCAAGAGTTCGAGGCCAGCCTGGCCAACATGGTGAGACTCCGTCTCTACTAAAACTACAAAAATTAGCCAAGCGTGGTGGCGGGCACCTGTAATTCCAGCTACTCAGGAGGCTGAGGCAGAAGAATCACTTGAACCCAGGAGGCAGAGGTTGCAGTGACCTGAGATCATGCCATTGCACTCTGACCTGGGTAACAGCAAAAACTCCGTCTCAAAAAAAAAAAAAAAAAAAAAAAAAAAAAAAAAAAAATAAAAAAAAAAAAAAAAAAAAAAAAAGAAAAGAAAAAGACAATGGAAAGGGACTCCATTTCTTCCTGTCTAGACTTCTAACAACTTAACAAGGAGGGAGCTTACTTTATCTCATCCTCCTCCGTATATGGCCTAATAGGTGTTCCAAAACATTAATTTTAATTTAATATAAAGAGGGTCCAGGCTCACACCTCTGATCCCAGCACTTTGGGAGGCCAAGGTTGGCAAATCACCTGAGGTCAGGAGTCACAAAAATTAGCCAGGAAGAGTGGCACATGCCTATAGTCCCAGCTACTTGGAGGGGTTGAGATAGGAGAATTGCTTGAACCGAGGAGGCAATGGGAGGCGGAGGTTGCAGTGAGCTGAGATCCTGGCCGCTGCCCTCAGCCTGGGCAACAGAGTTGAAACTGTCTCAAAAAAAAAAAAAAGTGAAAACTGGATGAAGAATACACAGGAATTCTCTGTACTGTCTTTGCAGCTTTTCAGTAAGTTTTAAACCATTCTAAAGTAAAATGTTTATTTAAAATTAAAGAAGCTTAGAACAAACTTGAGAGATCCTCCCACCTCAGCCTCCCAAAGTGCTGGGATTACAGGCATGAGCCACCGCACCCAGCCTTGGACCCTCTTTATATTAAATTGTCTTTATATCTAATGATTTATTCTTCACCTTAAATTCTTTTTGTCTGTATGTTGTACCAGTCTTTTTAATTACTATTTGTTTTTTTTATTCTTTTATTTTCCACTTTTGTCTGTAACTCTGTAACAAATTAACTAAATCCATTTATGTTCATTTAATATGATTATTGATATATTAGGACTTATTTCTTCATTCTTATTCAATGTTTTCTGGTTATCATTCTCTGTCTTTGCTTTTTTCCCTTTCTTTTTCTATTGTCAAATTAGTGAAGTGTTAGATAGTACTTCTTTACTTTATTCTTCTGGTTTGGAAGGTACAAATGGTACTGCTATTCTTTCTATGGCTATTTTAAAAGTTTAACATTAAATTTTTCTCCTAGGCCAGGTGTGGTGGCTCATGCTTTGGAAGAAAAAAATTTTAAACTTGACAAAGGGCCGGGCACAGTGGCTCATGCCTATAATCCCAGCACTTTGGGAGGCCGAGGCAGGTGGATCACGAGGTCAACAGATCGAGACCATCCTGGTCAACATGGTGAAACCCCCGTCTCTACTAAAAATACAAAAATTAGCTGGGCATGGTGGCATGCATCTGTAGTCCCAACTACTCGGGAGGCTGAGGCAGGAGAATTGCTTGAACCCAGGAGGCGGAGGTTGCGATGAGCCAAGATCGCACCATTGCACTCCAGCCTGGGTAACAAGAGCGAAACTCTGACTCAAAA